GGTTCACAAATCCGAACATATGGCACTAAAACAATACCATTTGATCTTGGACTCAACCGAAATTTTATATGGTCTTTCACCGTCGCCGTAGTCGAACATCCAATACTAGGAGCAGATTTTTTTAAAATATCATGGTTTATTGGTTGACTTACGCAATCAAAAACTTCTGGACCCGAAACAAATAAATGATCGAATCGATTCACGTGTAGTGGAATCTATAGTCACAATTGATTCTGCGCAGGAAATACTTAAATGTTTTCCATCGATAAGTAACCCACTGCTGTGCAGAAATCAAAACACAAAGTGCAACACCATATTTCGACACACGGCAACCCAGTCTCCGAAAGGGCACGCCGCTTATCAGGGGAAAAGTTATCAGCTGCCAAAAGAAAGTTCGAAAAAATGCTCGGACAAGGTTTGTGCACACCTTCAAACAGCGAGTGGGCAAGTCCCCTTCATCTTGTTAAAAAAGCAGATGGTACGTGGAGAGCCTGGGACTATCGCCGGCTGAACAATGTGACAGTGCCGGATAAATACCCGATTCCTCACCTGCTGGACTTTACGCTAGAGTTGCATGGATGCACAGTGTTTTCTACCCTAGACCTATGCTCATAAGCGACACCTTCATACTGTGCTAACACGCCTGCAAGAAAACGGTCTGCCCATCAACATTGAAAAATGCTATTTCTTGCAGAGCGAGGTTACGTATCTTGGGCATACTATTAACAAACATGGTATCAAACCAACAGCGGATAAAGTTGCAACAATTCGATCGTATCCAAAGCCGAAAACTGTTTCTGATCGGCGACGATTCTTAGGCTCGTGGAATTTCTATCGCTTAAATATGCCACATGCAGCGGAGATTCATGCACCTCTCCTCACAGCCGGCGCAAAGAAAAATGATAAACGTGCTATAATATGGGATGATTCGACAACACATGCATTGAATCAGTGCAAGCACCTGCTGGTCGATGCTGTGCAGCTTGCCTACCCTGCACCCAATGCTTCATTAAGTCTTCGTTGCGACGCCTCCGACAACGCGATCGGTGCTGCACTTGATCAAACAATATCTGGTGTAACTCAGCCACTGAGATTTTATACAAGCAAGCTAAGCAAAACCGAACGCAATTACAGTGCGTATGATCGCGAGTTGTTGTAAATTTTTAAGGCAATAAAGTTTTTCAAACTTGGTGGAAGGTAGATATTTAATTATATATACGGGTCATAGACCATTGTCCTTTGCATTGCCACAACGATCCGACAAGGCCTCGCAACGGCAGAAACGCCAGCTTCAGTATATCAGCCAGTTCACCACTAACATTATTCAC